GGCAGAGGACTAGGGCAGAGGACTAGGGCAGAGGACTAGGGCAGAGGCTGCCACAGCACCGGGCACAGGAAGAGGTTCTAGCAAACATGCTGCCGTCACATCTAACATGGTAATTGCTTCGATCTCATAAAACGTACCTTTTATGAGACCTAAAAATGTTAAGAAAGGTGAGATAAGAGATTCAAAAAGAGTTTTATAATACATAGGAGATGAAATCTTATACTAAATAACATGACTCTTATATAATTATCCAATATTGGGTCAGAAACATGACTTTGTAAAAACCGCAATGAAATTCACTACTAAATATTCATTTACTTCAACATTGACATTTTTATGATTAGTTTTATTAACAAGATAATATGTTCACACACTCACACCTTTTATAACAGATCTACTATTCACAATGTTTGATTTGAAACAGCAAATACTCAGTTGAACATGAAGGAAGAAATGAGATTTGCTTTCTATGCAGTTGGCTAAGTTATATTTAGGAGTAAAAGTTAACATTAGTATTTAAAACCCTCAATTTTCAAGGCGTTGTCAACGTAACCGGAAGTCTCTTCTCAGGCCACAGGACTGCCCATGAGTCTTTCTTGTCGGAGGGCAATTAATCTCCGGAACCACTTCTCTTCAGCTTCGGCTTTCTCAATAAACAACTACAGTGAAAAAGAGCAGAAGGCAATGTTACTGTGCGTCAGCAGGTTGGACCTGACGTGACACGACACACATCTCTGAGATGGAAGACTCCCTGAGCAGCGGCGTGTACTACTCAGCTCCTGAAGGGTACATCGCTGCTTAACCCACCCACTCGAGTTAGCGCTCAGCAGCTGGGGAGCAAAGGAACAATCTGAACGTTGTTTCACTTACTGGCCATTTCACACTCTATGTCTGTGAGTTCATTGATGAGAAACACCAATCACATCATTGCAGAGAGACAGTAAATGGTATTAGTGACAGCTCACATCTGAGAAACCAGGGCTGAGCTAGCATTACAACTTCTACTGCCAGTTTCAAAAAACTATTTTCCTTCTTTGACCATGTTTCTTAAGTACAGCATCATTCTAGCAGGCAGGAAACGTGTAGACAACACCAGACTCGAATATACATAAGCAATCCTAAGGCCTGAGGCCAGCTGCCCATCTGCAGCAAAGAGAAGCCATGAACCCTTTCCTGCATGTCTTCCCAAGGGTCAGAATAAAGGGGGACTGCTTGGGTGACTCTGAGAAGACTCATCAGGTTTAAGGGTCTCACATTTGGATGAGCTAGAGAATTGTCATCTTGATACTTGATAGCCGTGGGGATGCTGTCAGGGTCTATTTCCTTTCCAGTGCTGGGTGGCTCCGCAGTTCCTGATGCTGGTCCTGATGCTGGTCCTGATGCTGGAGGCGCATGTTTCACTTCGCTTGGTTCTACCGACTGAAAATGCAACACAGCAATCTAAGAATAATCCATGTTTAGAGAATTGGTTTCTTAATATTTAATACTGAACAATGATTGCTCTAGTAAGTCTCCTCTGAGATGTTAGTCATCTCAAAAGGTTCCACATTACTGAATGGAAAAAAATTGTTACTCAAAGAAACAAAAGTGTGGAGGGAATTTTTTCATTTCCTATGATCAGCGTACTTTTCTTATGATATCACTGTTTAGCCTTATACTATTAAAATACACATACACATAATACATGCATACATGCACACACATATATACATATTTGGTGTCTGAAAATAAAAATGTTACAATATACTTCTAATATTTAGTTGGCCTCAGAAAGTTATCCTTAAAATACCTATCTATCCATGTTAGCTACAATTTACATACCATATTATGGATTTGAGCAATTTACAAAATTAGACAACCGTTATCATGATCTATTTCAAAACATCTTAATTATTCCTTCCAACATTCCATATCTCTTAGCAATCACTCCTTATTTTTTATAACCTCTTGATGATGGCTTTGTCTATTCTGGATCTCTGTGTAAAGGACCATGCACTAATGGTTTTCTGTGGCTGGTTCTTTCATTGAGCCTAGTATTTTAAAGAGCCTTACATGTTAGAACATATCAGTACTTCTTTTTTGTAGTTGCTAAATAATATTACATTGTATGGTCTGCACATCACCCACTGATGGACTCATGTGTTATTTTTTAAGATTATTTAAAATAGTTTAAAATAAATAAGAGTTTGTAAAAGAAAGGTACATCATATTCTGTAAGAATAAAAATACATTTGTTGCTTTTTTTTCAAACTATATGCAGTGTTTGTCATGGCCCACACTGTTACAAGCGCTGGGAACACAAAGACTGATAACCCACTGTTCCTGCCATGAAGGAACCATGGCACGGGCTGACTCAGGAGGAGGCCTGAGGAGGGGCTGATTAGCAGCCAGGTTATAGGGATTATACGGATCAATTAGGTAAGAATGTGAAGTTAAAATTAAAATATAAAAGAGACATCCTCTGTAGTCTTTATCTCTGTGGTCTATAGTTATGGATCCAATTCCTTTACTTTCTATTTTCTTTTGACTTAAATCTACTTCTTAACATCCATTTTTAAAATGAAGTTCAAAACAAATATTATTATGAAAAATGTCTACAGGATGAACTATGCATAAATTAATTAAGTTTTTTCAGATTACTTTATCTTCAATTTGGAGACCTATCAATTTAGCCATATCATCAAACACTGCTTGATAAGCCCTAGCTAGCTACCAAGGGATAGGTGCCCTGTAGTTTTGCTGCTGAGCTTTATTGTCTGAGTGAACATGTTAAAGCATATATAATATATATAATACATTAATTATATACATTAACATATATAATTATTAATAATAGCAGACTTTGCCAAGAAATTAATAAGAATGATGGGCACTGGAGAGGTGAGTCTAGTTTAGATTTGGTACCTAGGCACAATATCTTTTATTTAGGAGGTACAATTTATTTTTATTTTTTTGGAGGTAAAATTTTAGACCTGAGGAATAAGAACAGCTAGGCACATAAAGACAGAAAAGGATGCTTCCGCCAATGTGTACAATCTGAGAGGAGGAAAATGAGAGGGAGGCCCGAGGAGAGAGTGTAGCTAGCCTTGGTGGCTGCTTGCTCAGCCCAGCCACACCTCCATTCAGCTCCAGCATAGGAAATGGGTTCAGGCAGAGAGGCCGGGGACTGGGAGAATCACACTTTGCTTCACGCACCCTAGGAGGCACACCCTTGTGGTACCTAACCTGAAACCTGCTCCTCAGATACTGTAGAAGGGAAAGTCCTTATGTGGTGTGATTAGTTTGTGTGTGTGTGTGTGTGTGTGTGTGTGTGCGTGCATGTGCATATGCTAGATGTTAAAGCCAGAGTTCAACGCTGGGTGTTGTTCCTCAGGTACTCTCTAAGTTGTTTCCTGGTCCAGGGTCTCAGGGGCCTGGAGCTCACCAAGCAGGCGAGGTCAGTGAGGGAGGGGATCATACCTGTCTCCGCTTTCCCCAGTGCTGGGACTACAAACACAGCACCACATTTTTATATGAGCTTCTGGAGACGGAACCCAGGTCCCCATGCTTACATGACACATACCCGATGTACTCAACCATCCCTTAATCCCAGATGAATTAATTCGTAATGGTAAGATTTATTCATTGCTTAAGCATTTTATTTGATTCAAACATGAATTCATTTTCACGCTAAAGAAGCTGGTCTGCATGTATGGGAGAGACTTTTACTTCTATAAACAAAATGGCCCTGAAGGCTACACTTCTGGGAAGATATCAAACAAGAGCAGAAATTATTACAAACTAGAGACATCTGTGCCACAATCTGTTTCCAAATGAAGGCATGCTTGTCAAGACTAAACCTAATAATCAATGATATTCACATGAACAACATTAACTTTTATGGGCACTAAGAAGAAAGTTATTAAACTTTATTTGGCAGTTTTATTATATTTTGGAGTCAATCTCCCCCTTCCATGTCATCTAGATTTCAAACATTTGAATAACTCTGGGCCTAGAAGGTACATGGCCCTACAGATAAAGTTATGATACACATTTATGGAACTGAGTTAAAGGCAAGCCCAATATTCTGCATGGGGAAAGGGGGACACATGTCAATTCAATAAGACTCAGTAAAACAACTTTGGCAGGCCATGTTTCCTCATAAAGATGACCTGTCTCCGTTCCTCAGGCAGGAGATGCTGACCACAGGCTGAACTGCCTTGAAAAGATGTGGAGAAGCTGGGGAATTCTCCCTCTTCAAGTGGCAGAGAAAACATTCTCATTACAGAGCCAATGAACCTCACTCTGTTTTTTCCCATGCGTATTATCCCGTGTGTGTGTGTGTTCCATGTGTGTGCTGGCATACATGCATGGAGGCTGGGGGAGGACACAGAGTTCTGTTTTATTACTCCATGCACTGAACCTGGAGCCAGGCTGCCTGCCTGGAGGACCCAGAGGCCCTCCTGCTTCTACCCCACAGCACACATGTGGTCACACCTGGCTGTTTTCTGGTATTTTCCCCTCTGCGTGCTGGAATCTAAACACATATTCATGCTTGCAAGAGCTCTTGCTCACCAAGCCATTTCTTCAGTCCCAATATTAATAAAAGTACAAATAAACATATAAGTTAAAACTATCAAAAGTTAGGGTTGAAGAATGGGAGCTGTTGAATGGTTGAGTGCATTTGTAAAATCAGTAGCTGCTCCGTAGCTAAGTGACAGAAACTCCTAAAAGAAAATTGTTGCTCAACCATAAAATTGGACCTCAACACAGGTCCACAGAATGCCTGGCTTTGTGCAATACTGCCACCTGGTGGTACAATTGGACAATACGTTCTAATCTTAACACAAATGCCCAAATTGTGCAGGGTTATCTACAACTCTCCTTTTGAACACAGGGATTATCTGCCAACCATATCAATCAGTCGTTGGCTAAATAACCTGTGCCAGGTTTATGTGGGAAAACATCCTGAAAACAAAGGACATCTTGTCTTCTAAAGCTAATGATGTATCAAGGATCTATCACATCCCCAAACTTCCTGGGTAAGGTTTCAGAGTTAAACTAGTTTAATCAATATGTATTATAGGGTGCCCACAGTGTCTAGAACGTTATTGCCAAGGGGCATTTTCTTCCTGGTGACAGTTCTCTAGCTTAATTAGTGGACTTAACTCCTAAGGAAACTGACACCAATTGAAAGGGTGGCTAGCACGGACAGCCTTTTTAAAGAGGCAAACTTTAACTAAGAGCACAAAACTGTCCAGGAGAGACAGATATGGAAGCTCGGGCCCTGGGTGATTTAGTCCCCAAGAGAGTTAATCTTTGCTATGCATCAAGGATAGCCCATCACGTCTGCCCAGGCCCTGGATGAAATAGTACTCAGGATAATTTACTTCTCTTTGCTAAGTAATCTCCTCATAAATAATTCATCTCTTAGGCATCCTGAGTCCTGGCCTTCCACTGCAGACACAGACATTTCAGACTAGAGAGCGAGGCCACTTTCTAAGCTAATAAATTGCCCCTCGTTTTATGTTTCAGTGGAGTATAAATTTATCCTTGTTAGCTCATCACTGTTCCTCTGAGCATCTCGGGTGCAGTTACTAATAGCAGTCACGTGCTGGAGGGCTTCAGCTCTACTGTGTACTCAAAGGGGAATGCCCTCTCCAGCATGTGCTCTGTTGACACTAATCCTTCCCATGTACGCTTTCATGAAGGAAAACATGAATTAACAGTAAACGTAAAGAGAAACAATATTTAGAACCAGACAGGAAACTGTCATAGGACAAAACCCAGTCTACAGATTCTAGACTAGGATTTTCACAGGGAAAACTTGCTCACTGATTGTAAGAATGTCAATAAGAATGGATGTCAGAAAATAAATTCAAGGCCAAGCCCTCAATAAATACATTCTTTTAGATGGAAGTCTTTACACTATGCAGATTGAGATAGTAAACAGACAGGCATATATCTATGAATACCATTTCATCGCTGTGGCTTCCAGGAGCTGAGATGATAACACTACTAAAGCTCAAATGCAGCAAACACAGCAACAACCCAGGACTACAGGTGACCCAAGGCTATCCAGTCCTGTAGCTGAAAGAAACCATACACTCAACTCACGTCTTTGTATGTTCTATGTTAAAAAATAATCTGGTAATTAGAAGAGAAAGTGGGAAGTAGCCTTGAAGGCACTGGCACAAAAGACCACTTCCTGAAGATAACACCAGTAGCACAGACACTGAGATCGACAATTAATAATAAATGGGACCCCCTGAAACTGAGAAGCTTCTGTAAGGCAAAGGACACAGTCAACAAGACAAAATGGCAAAAAATCTTCACCAACCCCACATTGGATAGAAAGTTGATGTCCAAAATATACAAAGGACTCAAGAAACTAGATATCAAAATATCAAATAATCCAATTAAAAAATGGGGTACAGATCTAAACTGAGAATTCTCAACAGATGAATCTCAAATGGCAGAAAGGCACTTAACAACCTTAGCCATCAAGGAAATGCAAATCAAAATGACTCTAAGATACCATCTTACATCTGTCAGAATGGCTAAGATCAAAAACACCAAGGATTGCTTACGTTGGAGAGGATGTGGAGTAAGGGGAACACTTCTTCATTGCTGGTGAGAGTGTAAACTTTGAAAATCAGTATGGTGGTTTCTCAGAAAATTGGAAATCAGTCTACCTCAAGATCCAGCAATACCACTCTTGGACAGATATCCAAAGGATGCAGTCCCATACCACAAGGACATGTGCTCAACTATGTTCATAGCAGCATTACTCATAATAGCCAGAATCCTAGATACCCCTCAACCAAAGAATGGCTAAAGAAAATGTGGTACAATTACACAGTGGAGTACTACTCAGCAGTAAAAATAATGACAACTTGAAATTTGTGGGCAAATGGATGGAACTAGAGAAAAACCACCCCAAGTGAGGAACCCAGACACAGAGAGACAGACACGTTATGTGCTCACTCATAAGTGGAGATGTTAAACATAAAGCAAAGGTAACCAGCCTACAGTCCACAACCCCAGAGAAAACAGGAAACAAGGAGAACCCTAAGACAGACATATATGGATCCCCCTGCCCAGGAAGAGGAAGCAGACAGGTTTCTTTGGCAAAGCAGCAAGTGTGTGTGTGTGGGGGGGGGACAGGGAAGGATGGTAGAGAAGTGAGGAGAGGAAGGGAGTTGGGAAAGAACATGAGGGATTGGGAAGGTTGAGTTGGGTGAAGGACAGAGAGGGAAAACAAGGAAAGAGATACCTTGAGAGAGAGGACATTATGGGATTAGAAAGAAATCAGGCACTATGGAAATTCCCAGGAATCCACAGGATGACCCCAGTTAAGAATCTAAGCAATAGTGGAGAGGGTACCTAAACTGCCTTTCTCCTGTAATCAGATTGATGACTACCCTAATTGTCATCATAGAAACTTCATCCAGTAACTGATGGAAGCAGATGCGGAGATTCACAGCTAAGCACTAGGCCAAACTCCTGGAGTTCAATCATAGCGATGGAGGAGCGATATCACATGCAAAGAGGCCAAGACCATGATGGGGAAACTCACAGAAACAGCTCACTCAAGCTAGCGGGAGCTCACTGACTCGGACTGACAGCTGGGGAAACTGCGTAAGATCAAGTTAGGCCTTTGAATGTGAGTGACAGTTGAGAGGCTTGGGCAGTTTGTGGGACCAGCAACAGTGTAACTAGTATTTATCCCTAGTGCATGAAATGGCTCTTTGGAAATCATTTCCTGTGAAGGAATACCTTGTTCAGCTTAGATATATGCAAGGGGGAAAGCCTTGGTTCTGCCTCAAGTGATGTGCCAGACTTTGTTGATTCCCCATGGGAGGCTTCACCCTCTCTGAGGAGGTAATTGAGGGTGGGGTGGGGGGAGCAGGAGGACAGGAGGGAGAGGAACTAAAATTGATATGTAAAATAAGATTGTTTTAAAAATCAAAAAAAGTCTGGCAATTAAAAGTTTCAGATCTGTATTAACACCAGGAACACTGTAAGAAAGAACTTGATAATTCTGACCTATCAGATTAACAAACATGAAAAAGCTTTGGTTTAAAAGACAGAAAGCTCCTTGCACTTTTGGGCAGAACTTAGATTGCTACAATATTTTTGGAGGATAACTTTTGAAACATTAAATAATGTAAATTTGAACAAGTAACTTCATCTCATTAAAAACATGTAACATCCTGAAACACAACTACTTAGAAATCTGGTATTTCTAAGAGAACAATAATGATCGTTACATCTATAATTCTACGTTATACAGTCCTACCTTTGCGCTTCTGCAGTGCAACATGGTCGAAGGAGAAGACTTTGGGAGGAAACTACACATTAACGACACATATCTGGGCGAAAACTAGAGTCTTCTATTTGAGTAACAGCTTTATCATTTAAAGTCCTTTGCCAATATCTGTCTAGGAATAACAATTCAAAAAGTGCACACAGATATTTGTAAAAAAAAGAAACAAAACCAACAACCCTGTCTACAGTCATGAAATGGACATTAATTACAGTTACAGAATCATAGCTGGTGATATCTTAGTTGTTTCGGTAGTCTTTAAAATGAAGCGGTGTCAGAGCCATGTCTACAACACGTTCTGTAGGCAGGCTTGGGCTGACTCCCCCTGAATCCTTCTCTCAGCAGCAGGGCTGATGCTCCCTCCCTCATTCATCTGCCTATTGGAGGAAGCGCCCACATCTAAGTAAAATCCATTAATAACGCATCTTTTCAGTGGGAAGCCAAAGGCTTATTCATAATGTCCATGTGGAAACTTACTTTTTTGACTTCCTTACTTGATCTGAATGTCTGCTGAACAAAAGAATCACTTTCGATGGCTTCAATTTCTTTCACTCTTTTCACTTGTTCCACCAGGGTGACTTGGTCTAAAAAAGAACAGTGTGAGTGAGCTTGGAGACAAGCTTGATAGCAGCGTGACACCTAGGCTTGGTTCTTTCTTTTAACTGGATGGAAACAAAGGACATTAAGTTAAGCTGTAATAAGTACTGTCCACCTTGAATTTCAAAACTAAAATATGCCTAGAAACTAAGACTCTCATCTACAATCTAAAACCTACTGCGGAGGCATTGCTATTGTGATTATGGGTAATCAAAGATAATTCTGTGGGACGGCCTTTCCCTCTACTTCAACATTTTTATTACAGAAATCCACAAAAGGAATGAAAGGACAACACACCTACCCACAGCCATCACCCACTTGTTACAATCACCAACACTTTGTATTGTCAGTCCACTGAGTCTCATTCCTAATATATTTTGGGATGGAGACCTGAAATATGTAAACAAATCCAAGAGCCCATATCATACAAAAACAAACTCCAGACCATGTACTATTTTCCCTAAATATTTTAGTGGTCATCGCTAACAGATTAAGACTTGATACCAACAATAATAGTGCTATCATAATACTGTTTGTCAGGCCTCAAATTACCACCAATGACACACAATCTGCATGCTCCACATTTGGTTGTCACTGGTTTAAAGGACGTCTTTCTACAACAGGCTGGTTTGAACAAGATCTAAACAAGGATGCACACTACACTTGCCCGGTGGTCCAGACTGTCAGTCTCCTCCCACAGAGCCCAGCACCCTCCCCTTTCCCTGTTATTTGCTGGAAACAGTGGACCACTTATCTCATAGTTCTCTGCCATCTTGGTCTGGCTGGCTTTAACCTTATGATGTCGTCTGACACGGTCCTCTCTCACCTAATGTGGGTGCAGGTCAGCAGAGACCTGCCTCCATTCCAGTTCAATTGATTTTGATAAAAAATATATCATTTGATGTTTGGAGAGATGCCTTAGAGGCTAAAAACCATTGTTGTTCTTGCAAAAGTCCTGGGTTTAGTTCCCAGTACCCACCTGGCAGCTCACAGCCACCTGCGACACTAGTTCCAGAGAATCTGAGGTACTCTTGTCTCTTGCATGCACCAGGCGTGCACGTGGTGCACATATATACAGGCAGGCACTCATACATACACAACAAATAAAAAAAACTTCAAAAATTATAATTGACACTACTGTGTAATTTTTCTTAAATCAGGAAGCATTCTGACCACCTGTCTTCTTACTAAATCAATTATTTAATAAGAGGCAATAAAATAGTAAATTTTCTTGTACTTATTAGTTCTGATTCTTTTACACTGGGGAACCTTCTCTCACTCAGCCATTGGTGACTGAAATACAGCCTGTATTGTGGGAAAACAACAATAGCTCCTCTCTAACATTCGGACTGTGAGTGCAGGAACACACGCGTGTACTATGGCATGTGTGGAGGCACAGGTCAGCTCCTGGTTCTCTTCTTCCTCTGTGGGATTCAGAGATTGAACATGGGTCACCAGGTTTGTGTGGTAAGCACTTTTCCCTCCTGAGCATCTCAGTAGTCTGATTTCTTTTCTTTATTTAGTATTTTTGGTCTAAAGGTGATCAAAGATGCCATTATCAGCTCACAATAATAAGTACATAGTTTTAATTCATGGCAAGTGCTTTCTTATTTTGATGCTCAAATTGCTTCAACTCTGGGCAGCTTGTCCTATGGTGCGATTCCTAAAAGTGAAAGCATGTCAAGATGTTGGAGGATTAACTTGTCCAGCTCCTGTCCCCGGTGAAACTACCCACTTCTCTAAAATCTCAGACTCCTAGTGGGGGAGACAGCAGAGTCAGTTACCTGGGCACTGGGCATGTGCATCATTGCTGAACTGCCATGGCTTTTCAATCTTTTTAGTGTGAAGGGGGAAAAAAAGAAATCTTAGGAGAGAAATTTTAATATGAGTCCATGCTGAGTACTATCAATTCAATTAGCAGTTATGGCTCTAGGTTATTTTATAGTCACACATCTTCTCATATGCTAAAAGTCTCCAGCATTAACAATACTGTCAAAAGTACTCACTTTCCTATGAGGTATGCATTAGATTAAAAAAATAAAATGGCAAAAATTACTAAAAGTCACAAAAGGTATTAATGCATCCCCGACCCCTTGGACTGCACATCACATACCCTGCTTGTCATATATTTACACTATGACTCATAACAGTGGCACAACTGCAGCAATGAAGTAACATGAAGGAATTTTACGGTTGGGGGTCACCACACATGAGGAACTGTAGTAAAAGGGTCACAACATCAGGAAGGTTGATAATCACTGCTCTAAGGACACATGAAATAATTCTCTATTTCATAAAGCTACTAATTTGATAGGGCTATTCATTTACTTAAGTTTATTTTTGATGTTTAGGTCTTGTTTTATGACTAACATCTGTTTCATACTTTACCTATCCCTGGCTCTGAGTTCATCCTCCATTCTGAAGATAATTATTTTTATTAGGTTCGGGTTTTGACTGCATCATTTATAAAACTGTAAGCAGTTACATCTCTTCCTACTGAGCGACACTAGTCCACCACATTCCTCCTGACTCCCGAAGGCTTCAGTCCAGGGCACCACAGCTTAGAGCTTTCTCTACCCTACTTTACAGATGAACAGTCACCTATTTTATAGTTGATGCTGATGTTTTTATGAATGCTCAATTGATGGCCGAGTTATTAAAATCGCTTTCTTTCACAGTTAGCATTTTAGTGAGAAGCAAGTCTCAGGTGTCACTTTACATGTGTCTCCCCACATGTTAGCGAGACAAAGGGTTACATGCCTGCTGTGGAAACGTTTGCGCAGCACTGCCGGCACCACACGGCTGAACCAGAAGCTACGCATACTCAGTTACGGCAGCTCAACTTTTTGGGATTTAGACTTTATGGATAGTGTTGGGCTTAGTTGGATGATCTGTGAAAGCAGCTTCTGCATCCCAGCATCCCTGGCCTGAACTCTCAGACGCAGTTACAGACGGAAACAGAATGAGCACAGAAGGAAAAGTCCGAAAAAACTGATGTTGTCTTAAATACTTTTGTCTCAGCTCTTGGCCAATCGCAGATTATAGCTATATTGTCCTGTGCAAGTATTTGTTCACTCAGGGGAAGACCACCCTCCCTTTCAGCCCAGTCTTCTCTGAGAAGCTGTGTGTGGAATGTTTGGAAGCAACAGCATCTGCAGTCAACTTCCCCGTTTTTGGAAGAACACATTTTCCTGTATAAATTCACACACTGTCAAAGTGTTACAGAACAGGAAATAGCTCCCTTTGCTTTAGTATAAAAGGGTCTCAAGATTTTAATTATGTGATGTACTGAGCATATGAAATGAGAGAGTCTTTGTCTAGCTAATGTATTAATATTAATGCATCCCGTACTAATGTGTAATTTTTAAGATTCTATGCATGGGAGGAATGCTATGGCAGAGAAAAATAACAAAAAAATGGGTACCAACTTTAATGTCTCCTTGAAAACAATGTTTTTTTTGAAACCAGAATCTACCAGGATTATTTACTATCACAAATTCTCAACAAGAAGCCCTTATTTCTGACTTCAGGGTGATGTCGCCTATGTATCAGCTGCTGGGTCTCTTGGATTTCTTTTCTCTGTCTAACATATTCTCTCATTTGGATTTGCAAAGCACATCATTAGTATTAAATGTCAGAGGTGACTTGAGAAACAGGACTGATCTCTAAAGCTTGCAGTGTTTGTAGCTTTAAATTTGAAAATACAACCAGTGCATAATACAAATAAATGTGGTATCACAGAACCCAGCCAAAGGGCCAGTGTGCTTATTAAAATAGCACTGTAGAAATTACAAAAGAGAGAAGAAAGATTAGAGAAAATGGAACATTATCCTTGTCCTTTAAGAAGAAAATCACCTCGGGACTAACAAGGTGACAGGGCAGAGAGGAGAGCGCCAGCTTGCCTGATTTACAATGTGAAAACAAACTACACAGCTTTCATCTTTTAATGCTGAGCCCAAACTCAGCAACAATGATACTTAAATTAAAAATTGGAAGATGCATGGGGGATGTAAAATTTCTGCTTTATAATAATAGCTCAGCTCTATATTCTCTGAAAACAATAACCATAAGATATTTTAAATTGCCCCATATTCAAAATTCTAGTATCACTGTCTGTAAATGTAAGTCTTGAGTTTAACTTTGGAGTTTTAGGAAGCAGAATGGAACACCAACAACATATTCCATGCCATTATGAGTTCAGATTCTTTGTTACATGCCATTCAAAAAAGGCTCTTCATCAACTTAAGATTAAGAAAATATGACTTAATTAGTTATTTCTTGTATGTCTACATAATGCATATAAAGCATCTTATTAGCTTAAAAAAAAGAAAGAAAGAAAAGCAAAAATCATTGGAAAGTTCACTTCACGGTGCAGACCTGTAATCCTAGATACTTGGGGAGATGAGGCAGGAGCATTGTGAGTTCAAGGTTTTACTGGGCTGTGGAGTGAGTGCGAGGCCAGCTTGAGTAACAGGGAGTCCCTGACTAAAAACCAAAAGGAAGGCTGGGAGAGGAAGATCCGTAGCTATAGCATAGGGATAGTGATCGACCTTCCCTGAATCCAAGTGTCAGCATGAAGGAAAAGAGTTACTAGAAGAATAAAATTAAAATATGCTTAAAAACCTTAACATGGGGAAAAGAAAGGAGACACACCCATTATTACTTAGTGACTTCTACAAGGACGTCATTGGTAAGTACAATGAATTCCTTGTTGATCCGATGCCATGGAAGAGATGTGTTGTAAATACACACACACAGGAATCAGAAAGTCATTTTGAAACAAAAATATCAGTATTAACTAATTTTGTAGATAGTAATTTTGACTGGGCAGTGGTAGTGCACACCTTTAATTAAAGCATTTGGGAAGCAGAGGCAGGCGAATGTCTGTGAGTTCAAGGCCAGCCTGGTCTACAGAGTGAGCTCCAGCACTGTCAGTATTATTACACAGAGGAAACCTGTCACAGCTCCCACAAAATACGATGTTCTT